GCCCGAAACGTCAGCCTTTCTGCTCCTATGATGCTGCTTGGCCTGCTGTGTTCATCCAGCTCTGCACCTTGTTGTCTCGGATTCTCCAGCATCTGCAGTTCCTACTATCTGTGAAAGTATTTGTGCCCATCTAACAGTGTGTTGCTGAGGTATCTTCAGAAACATGGGTTAAAACCAGTCCGACTATGTTGTCAGAGAACATAATAACACCAGTTTCTTAATCCTATCAAACTGCAAATGTTAGGGGTGATGAAAATCATTTGAAATGAATACCCAACTCCAGTTTTTTCTTTACTTGTTCATGGGATGTGGGTGTAGCTAGCTGGGCAGCATTTATTGCCCATGTCTCATTGCCCAGAGGGCACTTAAGAGTCAACCACATTGCTGTGGGTCTGGAGTCACATGTAGGCCAGACCAGGTAAGGATGGCAGAATTCTCTCTCTAAGCAGCATTAGCAAACTATTAGTGACAAGCGGTTCAAGAAGGCAGCTCACTACCACGTTCTCAAGGACAACTAGCGACGGGTAATAAATGCTTTTCGAGCCAGTGATGCCCAGGTCCTACAAGTGAATTTTTTTTAGAAATTGATGACAGTTACCATTGAGCAAGCTTTTAATAACAGCAAGTTCCAAGAAAATTAGCCTGAGGTCAGGATTGTTAGTCTAGTGACGTTAGCATTATTTTATCACCCACCCATTGTTCCTCAAACTCTCTCTCAAATGTAGTGTGTAAGCTCTTGGTTTTCTAACGTCCAGTGAAGTCAGTCTGCTATCTGAGGTAGCAGCAGACCATTTGATGTAGACCATGTCATAAGAACATATGAAATAGGAATTCAGCTCCTTGGGCCTTCTGTCCCATTCAATTTATAATGGCTGAATGTCTACCTGAATTCTGTTTTACTATCCTATCCCCAACCCTTCATTCCTTTTATGCCCAAGGATTAATGTTAATATGACTGTTGTGTTTGGCTATCAAGGACCATAATCCTGACTATTGGCCACCAAGCTATTTCGAAGCATTGAGGGGAGGGAGGCAATAGCATAACGTTATTGTCACCGGGCTCATAATCCAAAGACCTTGCTAATGCTCTAGAGACCTGGATTTGAATCACGGCAGCTGGTGGAATTTGAATTTAAAAATAAAACTGGAATTAAATGTCTAATGAAGACCATGAAATAATTGTCCACCTTCTTCCTCAACTGAGGATTCCCCAGCACCATAGCTGGCAGGGCCCTTAGCCAGGTCTGAACCATCTCCCACACTGCAGCCCTCACCCCTTCTCTTCCCTCCTGCAACAGTGATAGAGTCCCCATCTTCCTCACCTACCATCCCACCAACATCCACATCCAGAGGATCATTAACTGCTATTCCCGCCACCTCCAGCGAGATGCCACCGCCAGACATATATTCCCCTCCCCTCCCTTGTCAACCTTCTGTGCAGACTGTTCCCTTTGGGAAACCCTTGTTCGCTCCTGCTTCATTCCCAACATGTCCCCACACTCCCACGGCACCTTCCCCTGCAATCAAAAAAGGTGCAATACTTGCCCATTTACCTCCTCCCTCCCAGTATCCAAGGGCCCAAATATACCTTCCAGTTGAAGCAGCGTTTTACCTGCACTTCCCACAATCTAGTCTACTGCATTCATTGCTCACAATGTGGTCTCCTTTACATTGGGGAAACGAAGCGTAGACTGGTTGACTTACTTGCAGAACACCTATGTTCTGTCCACAGAAGTGACTCTGAGCTTCCAGTTCCCTGCCACTTCAACACACTGTTGTGTTCCTTCACCAACATCTCTGGTCTCGGGCTTGCTGCAGTGCTTCAGCGAAGCTCAGTGCAAGCTGGAAGAACAGCACCTCATTTTCCGCTTGGGAACCATGCAGCCTTCTGGACTCAATATCGAGTTCAACAATTTTAAGGCCTGAATACCTTCTCTCATGTCCTTAGGCAAACCCCCACACGCCACTCCTTGTCATCACATGGGTTGCTACCACAAACAACCCATTGTCAGTAACAAATGATTCCCATTAGCAGCTATTCATTCTCCCAGGCTGGTCTTCACCCACTCCCTTGTCTGTCCAATCACTGTTATCTCTCTCTCTGTGTTCCACCTATCGTTTACTCCTTCCCCCTATTCCGCCTACCATCTTCAGCATGTACGCCAACCTTTTCCCAGTTACAATCAGTTCTGAAGAAGGTCACTGGTTCGAAACATTAACTCTGCTTTCTCTCCCCTGATGCTGTCAGACCTGCTGAGTTTTTCCAGCAGATTTTGTCTTTGTTTCTGATTTCCAGCATC